TATCGTTACTATGTGTAAATCAGCCAATGACTAAAGTCTCACATGACGAATAATGAAAATTATTCGAATAAAATTTGAATTATTCATCAGATAAATATTTATTCGAATATTCGCCGAATACGAATATTATTTGAATAACGAATATGAATACGAAGCTCTACGTCAGCATTATTGGTAAACATTATATATATATATATTCAACCAATCAGTATTCATAAAAGCAGATAGGCAGACAACTTCACGTTATCTTGATAGTCATGCTGTAAAAATTTTTTGTGTATTATATGAAATCTTTATTTGTATTATTGCAAAAATTTGTATTGATTTGTAATAAGATATTAGCTTCATATTAATTTGTGATTTCTTCTAGCCTTGCTCACTTCTATGTTCATTCATTTTCTTTTTTAGAAATTTTTGAAATCTTAATTTAGCACACTATCCGACATTATTAGCCAATCAAATTTATAATATATCATGTGAATTTTACTCATAGAAATTTGGTTTAATTTGCATAATCAATCTAAATTTGTATTAATTTATATACAAATTTTTATGGGTCTCTGTTACACACTGTCATGTATGGAAAATTACAAGTAAATATTTTTTATGGCAAACTAAATTTTAAAAATTTTAGATCACTATTATGAGAATCTGTTATAAAAAGATTCATTATAAATTGAGTCGACAGTTTCAGAAAGTTATATTTAAAAACAATTATTATAAAATGCACCTATGGTGTTTAGCACCATATATAATTGTTTTTAATAAAATTTGAGGTTAGGGTGCATTTTTTAATAATTTTTTTTTATATATTATATAATGTAGATTAGATATAAGATTTTAATTTTAGTTTTTATAAGTGTTTGAGGGTCCTGGTCATTTTTACTTAGGATACCTGATCCCGTTTACTTAGTACATTTTTGAGAAATAGGGATCTATGATGTTGAACACCATAGGTGCATTTTAGTAAACTTGTTTAAAAAGGGCTAATTTAAGCTACTTAAATATAATGATATAGTACAGTAATTACTATAAGTATATAAAGCAGTAAAATAATATAAAAAACCAAAGCACTTAGGCCATGCAAACAAATAAAATTGCTTCTCGTTACCCGACCGGGTAACTTTTTAGAAAAGTTGAAATTTTTTTCTATATCAAATTTTTTACTCTTGAATGAAAAAAATGGGTAGTTTCAAGAACAAGGAACCCAGTGATGTTTTCGTGATCATCACATCACATGATTAAGTGTTTGGCCTAAGTTAGGGTTAGTGTTAGGGCTAGGTAATAGGATAGTTTATGCTAATTCTTTTAGTGCTAGTAAACAAATGACGCCATTAATGATTTCACATGTGATGTGATAATCACTGGGTTCCATGTTCTTGAAGTGTCCCGTAAAAGTATTGTCCAGTAAATAGTATACGTTAAATATTATAACGCTGGAAGTCTTTAATAAACATTAATACATTCCCTCACTCACTTTTAGTAGGACGCATAAAGGCAGCTTATAAACATAAAAAAAAGTTTGGAATACCATACGTACCAAGTGAAAGTGACATTTGGTAGCAATGCTTGGGAATTGTGCGTTACTTTCGATATTGTATGTACTGTACGTACATACGTATTAAGTCATAACACATATTTTTTATATACAGTATGACCTTGGTCATATAATCATATGACTTTTTAGTCATAAGTCACGTTGGTCATATCAAACATTAGTAAAAAATTTCTTTACTATGATTCTTACTATATGATCAAATGACTGTGACGGATCATAAAGGTCATATATATAGTTGCCGTCCAAACCTAATTAGTTTGAGACTTTGGGACTTTCTAGGGTATTAACCACTATTTGGGACTAGTTAAAGCCGTGGAACTTGTCCCAAACTTATTGTATGAACTGGGATTTGAGAGTTATAACTATCTGGACGGCAACTTTAGTCATATAGATCATTTAAGGTCATCGGTCAACACTACGTATAAGTGCCAAGATGTGTGCGTTCTGTGCTAATTTGGACGATCATACGCGAGACTGAAACTATAAAAAATAAAAATTTACAGGATGTTCAAATCTTATAAATATTTATCCACTTCAGACGCAAGAACAGATTAAGTACAAGTTTCATCCGTCAGTTTACTAAAACATCTATTACAAATTAAGAAGTCAAAAAAATTTATCATGTTACACTAGCTGATTAGTTATATCTGACTAGTCATAGTAGTCAATTAATAGATTAGTCGACTAAAATTAATCAACTAATCGGCTGATGATTCATAAAAAAACGTTTCCTATTATTAACTAGAATTACGATTGGTATATGCTTTATTATTCTGCGCATCGGCTTTATTATAAAAAGAGAAACATTTTATATTTGATACGAGAAAGGTGGGATTTGCTCATATTCAACTAAAATGGCTTGCTTGCGATTTATTATAAATATAGTTCTTGTTCCTTTTATTCAAGTACGAAAGGTTGTATATTAGATATCTTAAAAAGAGATGAAAACTTAGTCGGCTTGATCCGAAAAAAATACTTTCATTTAATAAAATGAATATCACTAAAAGTATAATTATCTTCGTGTGTTTTCTTATCGTCTCTGACGTTCTTGCTCAAATGTAAGTTTTCAAAGTTAGTAATTTTGAGAATCCAACTTTTTTTTTAAAAAAAAATATATATATACAATTTTAAATATAATTTCTAACTTTTTTATTAATTTTTAAGAACAACACCGACAGCTATCCAAGCTGAACCTCCTAAAGGACCACTACCAGCCAGTGTCCCTAAAGGTGGTCCGAACAATGGTCCCCTGATAACTAACCCTCCGAATGGCATTCCCCCTCCGGTAAATGATCCGAAGAGTCCTCCGAAGGGTGTTGATCCACCTCCGAAGAGTGATCCACCGCCGAATGTTCCTCCGGAAGGTAGTCAACCGACAAGTGCTCCTCCAGCAGGTGTTCCACCGGCAAATAGTCAACCGACAAGTGTTTTTCCGACAATTGGTCAACAGGCAGGTGTTCCTCCACCGATAAATAGTCAACCGACAGGTGTTCCCCCAACAGGTGGTAAACCTCCAACAAATGTTTCTCCGACAAGTAGTCAACCGCTAGGTGTTCCTCCAGCAGGTGTTCCTCCGACAAATAGTCAACCGGCAGCTGGTCAACCGGCAAGTGTTCATCCAAAAGGTGGTCAGCCAGCAGGTGTTCTTCCGACGGGGAATAGCGATCCAAATAGTGGTCAAAAAACTGATCCGACAAAAGTTATAATTTCCAATGTTCCAGCTAGTCCACCTCCTGATGACAAGTAAGTATTTTAATTATTATTATTTTTTTTTTTAAATGTAATATTTTAACTGATTAAGTGACAATTCTTTTTTTTTTTTTGAAAAAAAAAAGTATTATACCTATCGATGCTACGGATACTGCACCAAGCGTTCGGATTAACTATTTAGAATTGGTCGTTGGCTTTTTTGTTCCTTTATTAATTGGTAGTTTATTCTATTAGCTAGTATAATTTCATTTATAATCTACTTTTCCTTTTTTCTTACATAGCACGTTCGCAATATTATGGAGTAATGAATAATGAGAAATCTTATTCTGGATGTAGTTTTTTTTTAAAAAAGAATTTTTTAATCATTTTTTTAAATTAAAATTGTGTATATTATATATGTATTAGTCTTACGTTTTTAGTTTAGCCAAGTTATTATTAATAATTGTTTGTATCTTTTAAAAGTAATAGAGATTTTAATATCTGGAAAATATGGCACCATAGTGGTTGGTAGGCACTAGATTCTTTGATCAGAACGATTTTTAAGCATTTTTTATAATAATGTTCGCATCGTTACCGTCATTTTACTAGGAAAACTCAATCTTCATAATAATTAATAGAGTATAATAGCATTTGCCATTTCAAAAATCTGTTTTCGTTAATTTAAACACTTTAAAAGCTTATCACGATACAATCCTTTATCATTGTTAATAGACAAGTTAATTTCTTAGGTAGGTGATTAATTTATTCAGCCGATTAGAACATTCATTGAGGTAAGTTCTTAAAAATGCACCAACTGTTCTCGACGATCCCTTTTTATGATCACATATATTCAATACTTTCTATTGCGTTGCATAAAAAATTCCTAAGATCCGATATTGATTGCTTTATTAGATCAATTGCCGATTGACATTCATTCATTTTTGCTTGCAGTTGAATAAAGAGTTGTAACATGTGGCGTATAGCCCTTAACTAACGCCTTCTTATCTTTCGATCTGTTAACCAGTCAGTATGCATAAATGTGAATTCTTTAAAGATAGGCTGTTCCAATGTTTTGTATTTGCTAAAAAATAACATGTAAATAATGTTTATATCACAAAATTATAAATTTATAATTGTTTTCATGAGACAGTGATCAATGACATGGGCCGCACGTTTTTTTTTTTTTTTTTTACAAATTTCTGAACACAAAAAAATAGCCGAATGTTTTCGACGACTCGATTAAGTTGGTGATTTCTGAATATAAATTGATATCTATACGTAATTTAAGATCAGATGATTAATATAAAGATTATCATTATAGACTTTAGTCTATGTAGAGAATATATAAAAAAGTCTGTGGAAAAGAATTGGCTCTACTTATTGAAAATCTTTTTAATAATAGCTTAATGCTAGTTAATAGTTTTGTTTAATTTGAAAAGTAAATTTTTTAGAAGGGTTGGCATGTTGGACAATGAAAATCTGTCCGATACTCAGTGTCCGAATTGTCCTATCAAAGATAGGTTAATCACATAAAATTGGATCACCTCATACAGTATTAACTAGCGTTAATAGGTGAGCAGATCCATAGTGACAGGCCGATTTTTAAAATCCGTACGTACGTACGTACATATTAGTGTTAGGGTTAGGAAATATAGCTTTATCCGGCAGGTACTATGTATACACTGACGGAAAAAATTCCATATCATTGCCGCAGGTGTTTATTAAAATCATGTGATATATACAAATTGTAATTTTTTAAAATTCTCAATTTCAAATAAAAT